GGTGGCGCATGGCTGTCGTCCCAGCTACTCGGGAGGCTGAGGCAGGAGGATGGCTTGAGTCCCCAGGAGTTTAAGGTTGCAGTGAGCTATGATGATGCCACTGTACTCTATCCCGGGCGACAGAGCATGACCCTCTCTGCAAATTTTTCCTTATGTGGTTGTTTTAAGTGCTTTTCAATATTTATAAATAACCTGAACACCACGGAAGTAGACTCTCTCTCACTATAACCTTGGTTTTCCTAAACCCAGTGGAATTGCGTTCTAGATTCCTATTACTCATGTAAGAAACTTATAAACTCAAAGCAACATCTGTACAAGGGATAATAAACGCTAAAGAACTAAATAACGCGTTCAGATGCGTTAATGCATTATTTAATGCTAAATAATGCCTTAAGAACAGTGGAGACTGAGACAGATTAGTAAACTTCCAAGGGAAATAAACGCATACAGGAAAAAAAATGAGCAAGACTGCCTCAATCAAGTTCTGTATCAAAAGTCAAACTGACCCAATGCCACGAATGACACACCTTTAAAACATCCTTGCCCAAAAAAACTGTTCAAAGTTGATCCCAATAATCGAGCCTATAGACCAGGAAATGCAGGCGATTATAGAGAAACAGGCGAAATGACCCCATGAGAAGACACTCAGTAAATATCAGGCGTTCAAGAAAACTATTGTGCTAGCCTCAAAAATCACCGTTTATGGGGAAGCTAACCTAAGGGAGGAACTGTTAGGAGGATAAAAGAGACTCCAACAAACAGATTACCCAAAAGAAAACTCTCGAACCCTGACTGGATGCTGGTTTGGAAAAAGTAGGCTACGTAAGACATCTCAGATACGACTGGAGCTATTCGGAGAAATCGATGGGTGTCACATGGCACCATGGAATGATGTTTAAGTTTGTTAAGTGTGATGATACTATTGTGAGCATGAGAACGCCTCGATTCTTACGAGATGCTAACTAAGGTGTCACCTCTATAATGTACTTCCAGATGGCTCAGCCATGTTAGTTGTTAAACGTAGATGCAGCATTTACATGGTACGTTCGTTGTACTGGTTATTCTTTTAACTGTTCCTGATGAAGTTCTTCACAATGAGTTAGAGGGCAAGAGCTCTACCTGGGCCGCTTAAGCCACTGATGAAG